CGTCATCTTTGACCTGACCTGAAAATGACCTTTGTAAAAATTGTAGATCTTGACCGTGCGTATCCGATGCAGTTTACCGTTTGTCGCTGCGATGTGTAGTTTTTGAGATCTGAAGTGGGGGCCGAATCGCCCCCCCCCCCCGCCAGTTTCTTGTCCCGGCGGAGCCCGCCAGGAATAGGGTTAAGACGACGAAGATATAGCCTGAAGTATACTAAATTTCGTAGGTGCAAAACCTGCCGCTAAAACCCGCGAGACTTGTATAGGTCTCGCCTTGAGGTTTGTACCTACATTTCCATGCATAATGCATATGTCCGTCGTCAAGACACAAGACAGGCCACATTCAGCTCGGGGGATCGTCGCACGTTCTCTCAGGTAGCAACGATAGCTCTCTGTAAGCGGAACCAATGTCCGGAGAAGTTTCCGGCAGGGTTGTGCTCGACTAAAAAAAAAATTGCCGACTCGACTCATCACTAAACTTCAGAAAGCCCTGACTCAACTCTGACTCAAACAAGGAGCTGATTTTTTCCCCTTGACTCGACTCATGACTCAAGCGGCTCAATGAAAATATCAGTTGACTCAAACTTGACTCTTATTTTTTTTTTTTGTTGATGACTCAAAATTGACTCAGATAAAAAAGTTGTTGAGCGGGGGGGGGGGGGGGGTGAAAAAAATCCGGCAGCAGCTCCAGGCCTAAGTTGTTAAGCGGGGGGAGAATGAAAAGCTTATAAATATTGTTTCTAGAAAGATGAGTCAGCTGACTCATGTTCCTAAATGTTTTTGACTCAACTCAATGTCAAAAGTTATTTTACTGACTCGACTCTGACTCAACTCAACATCTTAATATTTTTGTCCGACTCAACTCTGACTCAACTCAACAGCTCAACATTTTATCCGACTCGACTCAAACCTGACTCATTTGAGTCAGAGTTGAGTCAAATCTCTGACTCGACTCATGAGTCAAGCACAACCCTGGTTTCCGGTGTTCCAAAAATCTTCAAATTCATGGTACACCATCATGGGCCGGTTAGGGGGTGCCCGCACAATACCGTGAGGGGTCCAAATACGCACTTCCGCGTGTGGAGGGTTCACTTATTTATGGGAGCGATTGCCGTGGTTCAATGTTATGCGTCGAAATCGGCCGAACATGGCGTCACTTTGACGTCATTTCCGGCCGACCTATGGTAGCTACGAAGTTCATATTTTGACACAAGGTGTGAAATTGATGCGGGTTAAGTCCCTCATCCCTCTCTCAGTCTGTCTGTCTGTCTGTCTGTCTGTCTGTCTCTCTCCCTCTCTCTCTCTCTCTCTCTCTCTCTCTCTCTCTCTCTCTCTCTCTCTCTCCCTCCCTCCTCCTCACCTCTCTCCACAATTCCCTCCCGTTCTGCTCTCAGTCAGATTCCTATTCCCCATGGGAACACAACCGACACACTATGACCAATGACTGTCCTGGGACCAGGACGGACCATTCCACAGTCCAACCGGGACCAAAGAGGACCATCTCGGACCACGACGGGCCACTTCTCGGTTCTTGCCCCGTCGCTGGAGCACAGGGCAGGAGCTGTGCTCCAGCGACACGGTCGTGTTGCCAGATCAATAGCCGGTGTCGGCTCGTCTGGCAACACTGGCCACCCATCGACCCTGCCATTGGCCGCTCTCAACGACGGTCGAGTGGTCACGCGCCGGAGAGAGAGGGGCAGGGAGAGAGAGGGAGGGAAAGGGGTGGAAAGGGATGGGTAGAGGGAGGGCGAAGGAGAGGGAAAGGAAGGGAGTGATGGAGGGAGGGGGGAGATAGAGAGAGAGAGAGAGAGAGAGAGAGAGAGAGAGAGAGAGAGAGAGAGAGAGAGAGAGAGAGAGAGAGAGAGAGAGAGAGAGAGAGAGAGAGGAGATAGGAGCTGAAGTAAACCGTTGGGAACGAAACGAGCATCAATTATGTCGGTGACACAAAGCGAACTGAGACCCTCCCTGCCTCCACAAAACATCAATTCAACGGTAAGTTTCACTGTGATTTGTGTTAGCGTAACTACTTCATACGTATCTTTCGAAATTCAAAACATAACGTAAGTTCATGAGATTTCCCCCATATTCATGGCATAGTACATGGATATGGGTTTTCCCATGTTGTCTTGCAATAAATGTGGCCACCGGTCTTAGTTAGGACGGCCGGTTTCTTTTGCGCGGCGTAGTTAGGTCGCCGCCCTCCTCGCGAGGCCGGTAACGTAAGTTAGGGCCACTTAAAAAAAGACACAAAGCGAAGGCTCGGTTAGCCGCTTTACACCCTTCGAATCGAAGAAATACATTTCTTATCATGGAGAACGGTCCCGGACCATAGATCGGCTCGACGCCGAGTAGTACGGTCCACATTACACACAGTTCACCAGCGTCTAGCTGCCCAAGGTAACTATGGAGAGAGCCGATGTGGACATTTTCTGCCGCAGTCCGGCAGCCCACCTTCTACGGTGACGAAGGGAAGCAGCCGATGCGACTACAGGGGCGGATCCAAGGGGGGGGGTCACATGGGTCATGGCCCCCCCCTTGAGGCCCGGGGGCCCAAAGACCTGCCAGGGGCACCACCGGCCTATCAGGGGTATCACAGTCCTGACAGGGGCACCACAGGACCACCAGGGGCACCACAGGCCTAGCAGGGACACCACGGGCCTGGTGCCCCTGGGCCCTGACAGGACTGTAACGCCCCTGACAAGCCTGAAGTGTCCCCGGCAGGGACGTGGTGCCCCTGACAGGCCTGAGGCGCCCCTGCAAGGCCGGTGGTGCCCCTGGCAGGCCTGTGGTGTCCATGGTAGGCCTGTGGTGCCCTTGCTAGGCCTCTGGTGCCCCTGACAGGCTTGTAATGCCCCTGGAAGGACTGTGGTGCCCCTGGGCCCTGACAAGCCTGAGGTGCCCGGCCATGACAGGCCAGTGGTGCCTTGCTAGGCCTGTGGTGCCCCTGGCAGGCCTGTGGTGCCCCTGGCAGGCCTGTGGTGCCCCTGGCAGGCCTCTGGTGCCCCTGACAGGCTTGCGGTGCCCTTGGAAGGACTGTAGTGTCCCTGGGCCCTGACAACCCTGAGGTGCCCCTGACAGGCCCGTGGTGCCCTTGTTAGGCCTGTGGTGCCCCTGGCAGGCCTCTGGTGCCCTTGCTAGGCCGCTGGTACCCCTGCGCCCTAAGAGGACTGGTGCCTCTGAAAAGTCTGAAGTGCCCCTCGGCAGGCCCGTGGTGCCCCTGACAAGCCCAAGGTGCCCCTGCGAGGCCGGTGATGCCCCTGGCAGACCTCTGGTGCCCCTGGCAGGTCTGTGGTGCCCCTGGCAGGTCTGTGGCGCCCCTGGCAGACCTGTGTTGACTGGTGCCCCTGCTAGGTCGCTGGTGCCCCTCACAGACCTGTGGTGCCCCTGGGCCTTGACAAGCCTGAGATGCCTGGCTATGACAGGCTCGTGGTGCTCCTGATAGACCAGTGGTGCCCTTGCTAGGCCTGTAGTGCCCCTGGCAGGCCTCTGGTGCCCCTGCTACCCCTGCGCCCGGCCGAGGACTATGGTGCCCCTGAAAAGCCTGAAGTGCCTCTCGACAGGCCCGTGGTGCCCCTGACAGGCCCAAGTTACCCCTGCAAGGTCGGTGGTGCTCCTGACAGGCCTCTGGTGCCCCTGGCAGGTCTGTGGTGCCCCTGGCAGGCCTGTGTTGACTGGTGCCCCTGCTAGGCCGCTGGTGCCCCTCACAGGCCTGCGGTGCCCCTGGAAGGACTGTGGTGCCCCTGCCCCTAGGGGTGCTCATGGGCCCAACAGGCCCGTTGTGCCCCTGACAGGCCTGTCGTGTATACTTGCTAGACCTGTGGTGCCCCTGCTTCCTGGCGGGCCTGTGGCGCCCCTACAAGGCCGTAGGTGCCCCTGACAGGTTTGTGGTGTCCCTGGAAGGACTTTGGTGCCCCTGACAAGCCTGAAGTGTCAAGGACAGACCCTTTAGACGCCAGGGTCAAGTTCGTCGGACTGACAACGATTCGCTTACCTGATAACGTTCCTGGTAAGTACTCACTACTCAGCGTCCACAACATATATACACATAGCACATTCATATATACTTGCTTACAATTGGTAAATGTGGTTGTGGCAAAAGTTAAGATACTGACTAAAAATAAAAATTAAAAAGAAAAAAACTGAAAATGGGGGCACCACCAAAATGAAGTGGACGAAATCCGTTGAGTTTTTAATTTTGGGTATAGGTAGGGGCACCACTTCGATTCATGACCCTCCCCTTGGAGTTTTCCTGGATCCGCCCCTGTGCGACTATATGCAGTATGGACTTTAGGGCTTCTGTTCGCAAGGAAAATGCGAGAGATTTATCCTCCGACCAGCCGGTCCCCATCGAGCACTTGGTTCATCCGTCTCTAAATAAAACGAGCTGTGGTACAGCACCACGGGGCTCCAGTGATGACTGGTTCGATTGGGCCAGCTCTGAACGGCTCCAGTCTTCATCAGTCGCGGCATGATTGACTATCAGCGGAGATTAACTGACGTCTAATTACAGATGGCGCAGCTGGGACCGCCAGACGGCCGAGACTGCCAAGTCCGAGATCGTCTAAAGGCTGTGCCTCAACTTGGGGAAAATGGTACGTCCAAAAATGAGTTTCGGATTTCATCGGTTGAAAAACAAATAGAGCGATGAGGTCCGTCCTGTTCAGCTCATCTAATTTGGCGTTATTTCGTTTGTATGACCACCGCCAAACACATTTATCTCGTCGAAATAGATGATAATCGAATGCAAACAATTTTGTCTCTAAGGTACCTAATTAGTGTCTTATCATTACACTTACCTGCAATAGTTATTAGCCAGGTAGCTTAGTGAAGTAGCTTCTGTTGGATATTTCTGATCAGCTCGAAATGCTTTATCTAAACATTTTTGAAAATTTTGCGAGAACAATTAATTTAGCTGATCCACTAGCTTAAAATGAAACTTAAATATTAGGTATATGCATTTATATTTGCATTTTCCATGCAGCAAACGTAAAAAGAAACAGCGATATTGACCAAAAGTGTATTTTCCGAAATCCGAACAAGATCACTCCGAAAACTTGAAGACAGCCTTGGAGATGACACCACTTGCCAACGAGCTGAGAGCTTTTTCGTAGTCTTTCAGATCGAACGTCTGAATAGCCAGCTTATCGTACGCGAGATAGCGCGCCCCCATCGCAGCCGTCAGCGCGGTAGCCTTGGGATAACAGAACGGATTGGTCAGAGTACCGAGAATCATCAGTTCTTTGTGGAACATTTGATTTGGCGCGATGCTAATTCTGGCCGTTGGTGGGGCAACACCGAAAATGCAGAGACGTCCGCCCTTTCTGAGCCACTGGAACGCCTCCTCGACTGCGGGCGCGTAGCCGGAACAGTCGACCACGTAGTCCAGGCCGTAGGCGTCCAGGTTTTCCGCCGCCTTGGCCATCATCTCGCGGGTCTGGTCGGGTGCCATCGCCTTGTAGCCCAGCTCGAGCACGTCGATGCGCGCCCTGCGCTCGTTTGAAGGCTCTGAGATGATGACGTTCTTGTGGCCGTGCAGGTGGAAGATGCAGGCGTACAAGATACCGATGATGCCGGCGCCGATGATGAGAACGTTGGCGTCGTGCGGCACCATGCCGATGCGATCGACGCCGTGCTGGATGGTGGAGAGAGTCTCCACCAGACAGGCCAGGTCCAGACCGAGACCCATCGATTCGGGCACCACGTGCACCTGCTGAGCAGGTGCCAGGCAGTACTCTGCCCAGCCACCATCACGGAAAAATCCCAGCGCATTCTTGGGCCCCTCGTGGAGGCAGTACTGCGGATTTCCACCGGCGCAGTAGCGACACTTGTAGCAGCCGCGGTACGGATCCACCGTGACTTTGTCTCCAACTTTGAGTGTCTTCACATCGGCTCCAATTTCAGACACCACTCCGCATATCTCGTGGCCAAGAGTGACGTCATGCTCGGCAGTTGGATAGTTGGCCTTGATAGCGTGCAAATCAGTACCGCAAATACCGCAGTAGACCACCTTGACAAGGACATCGTCACCTTTTTCTACCTTCGGAATGGGAATCTCCTTCAATTTGAGCGTCTTCGTGGGACGGTTGAATTGCAGAGCTTTCATTGTCTTACTCATGCTTGCTGATTTTAATAGGAAACGGCGTTAAACAATTTTTATTCGATACACAACGGAATTTAACGTAACAACACTTCCAATTTACCCGTTGTGGAAAAACATATTGTTGAAAAATATTAGTATGAAGAAATTCACGCGCCGATTTGCTAAATTCTAGCATGCGAAGATGGAAAGCACGCCTCCACTGGGAAGCTTCAAAATTTGCGTGCCTTCATTGGCAAGAAATTGCAAATGAAAATATGACAGAGTACAAATTTGCAGTATTTCCAGAGTCAACAAAAAATACAAACAAGTTAATAGCTCATTCAATTTTTTAATAGATGTAAGCATTAGCAGGCTTAGGCTTCAGCCGAGAACGTCCTAAATTTGCGTTAATTTCCAAATGTCTACAAATATTGATAATTTTGCTGTGCCTCATTTTGGCTATAGAGTTCTTAAAGGGACCCTCCCACCTTAACATTAGATTTGAGTTGAGATAGCCAAAATGGGGTCCCTGGCTCACAATTACCGGTTTCGGCACTCACTGCATCGAGAAATGCCTTAAATCGGATATATTGAATTTCAAAATTGCAGCATTTTGATTCAGAGGGGCTAATGCTTAGGAATACCCCTCTGAATGTGTGACGTCAGCGCAAATATCTAACGATTTTTAAATGTTTGACTAAAACGTTTTGTAGCACGCGGTGGTATATGCTATTTGCGCGCAACATCTGCCGCAAACGCCGCACTTCTAAAATAAAGTCGCTAGAAACAGCGGAGATCCCAAAAAAGTAAACAAAAGTAAAAGTCTAATATCTTGAAAACCGGTGAATATTTTTCGGTGAAATTTGGTAGATATTCGTTTTCGCTCTTTCTGAACCGAGCGACATCACTTTCATGCCAATTCATAAACTTTTTTGAAGGTGGGAGGGTCCCTTTAACTAGCAAAAATCAAACACGATAGGTCTGCATCGCAATTAACTTCTCCAGGAAACAGCAGCTCCTGATAACCCAAGCTGCAACATAGCTTCAGCTCCCCGCAGGAGGCTTCAACACTGTGTTTCCATTTTGCAATAACTTCAGCTGGCAGCTCATCCAACCAAACAAAGTGAAGCCGATTCAGCCGTCGATCCAACAGGCGAGTCCATCAGTTACCGAGCGCTCCGACTCAGCGCTGAGAGATCAGATTAGCGATTCTCTACGATCGTTCATCAAGAACACCTGCCGTAGTTGTGTGCTTGATTGATTGCCCTCCTGCTGGAAAGTGCCTCCGAGCAGCTTATTCGAAACCCCATCGGAGCTCGCAAATGGGATCGGTTCAGGGTCGAGGTCAAACATATGACTATACATCACGTCTGATGCTTATGTTGGTTGGTTGATATCTCAAAGCAACGTCATTTTTTTTTTTTGCTCCTCTGGCCTCTGCTGAATAACGAGTCTATCACATCTCAACCTACGAATACGATAACGTTACCTATGACATTGAATGCCTATGCGCAGAAACCAACAAAATGCAATGAAGTTGCAAATTTTACCTAAATACAAAACTCTTCAAGTGTACTGTTTCCACCGATTTGTTTTCTAAGCTACCTGCGTAGCGGCACCAGTATATTTTCAAGCGGTCTTCGTCAGTTATATATTCTGGTGAGGCGTTTCAACATAAGGTTTCACTGTTTCGGCTCGCTGGCAATTTAAAGGTAGTGTGCCACCTTTGAAAGATTTCCCATTTTATTTTTCCTAGGATAAGAAGCTTCTGTTTTTACCTAATATCGCAAAAAAAAATCAAAAATGGGCCTGGAATAGTGCCTTTTTCGCCTAAAAGTTTTTCGGTTTTTAGATATGTATAACAACTGTAGTGGGCTCACCTGCAAACAGGCGTCGGGCAACAATCGCGAATGCGGCGCACTTGTGACAATAAGCAAAGGTCATTATAGTGTTACGACCATACGACGTACGGGAATGAGTTATCAGCTGTCTAATCGTAGACAACACAATGTCGAGCCCTAAACTGTAAGCCCGTATTGGTATTGTTTCTTTTATTTGGCTGTCGAACATTATTTATGGTTTGAAATATGATTTTATGTAAAATAATTGATATGAAAAAGCCGTCTTATAAGTTATGACCCCATTTCACCACACGCAAGTGGCAGAAATGACAATGATCAGCTGACGCATTTTTCTTGGCCGAAGTCAGAGCGCGCGGCCCGACGCACCACGCGTATTTGGAAATTCCGACCTCGACGAGCATCAGAAGCCACCTAACAGGCGTGTTCGAAACCGCAGGAGCTGATGATGAACGGGTTTATCGAAACTTGATTGGATGAGCATATCGGTAATAGCGATTTCAGTGTGTGCATTTATTGTTCATAGTGGTGTTAAATGTGGTTGGGGTACGACCGACAACCCGTCGGGGCGAATTTCGCACTGGGGTACTCAAAATTTGAAGAATTTAAGACGTTTCCATGAGTTTTGAAGGTATGGATAAGTTCTAAAAATCCGGTTCTCCTTATCTGGGCCATTAACTCCATACGGTCCAAGAAAGCTGGCACACTACCTTTAAAGCAGACACGAACGAACACATATTCATTAGTACCAACTGTCCATGCAGTAATATAAGACTAGGAATACATTTCAGAGACTCCCTCATACATAGCGGGGTTGGATGATATTAAGTTAGGCCGGATGAATTTAGGACGGATAAATGTCCATTCCATTGAATAAACAGAGCATTATATCATACCATAACTGGTGAGCAATAACCGTCTCCGTGAGTCATTCTATTCAATTAATTTTATCTCTGAGGCCGGTCAAACCCGTGGGATGCCCAGGTGCGTGATTTATTCTCATATCCTGCGTAATTATTTCTCATATCCCCTCAAGAGAATGTGTCAATATATTTCATTTCTAAGCCCTCACCCTCAATCCTGAGATACTCAATAACAAATTCATTGCCCCTAATAAACAGTATCTTGCCTCATTTCCCTGCCCACTGACATCCACACCGAAACGCGACCCGACAGTCTCGCCTTCCGCGGCACAGCGGCGCCGACGGGCGGCGGACGTCCGATGACGTCACCGTGCCAGGTGGGTGTGACGTCACCGTCGGCGCCGACAGCCGGCGGGTGCCGCCGCAGGCGTCAGTTGGTCTGCGGCGGCAGCGCCGGAGGTGAGGGCGACGCAGCCGGCGGCGGACGGCGAACGGCCGAGGTCGACCTCTACGACGCCACAGGGCACGGCTTATTCTACCCCAACGAGAACAGGTGAGTTTCCGGAGGGAGAAGGGCCCTCTCGTGGTGATGGCGTGTTTTTGCAGTCCCGGGATCTGGAAAGACGATGGTGGCGTGAAAGCTCGGCACTGCGCGCCTTTTGGTCGATTAGAATCCGAAAAGTTTATATGAATATAAAGCGATCTCTTACAGCGTGAAAATGTGCTGCCAGCCAAATGGTGTTTTTCTCCAGCTCAGCCATCACAAACAGAATACAACTAGGCGTAATAAAACCGTACCCCGGTCGTTTGTTCCCCGCCCGGGTACTGTTAGCTGCGGTAACCGATGATTCATCCATTGCAAGCCGTATGTTTATAGCCCCAGCTTGAGGCCGACAAGGCATATACGGTGCCAAAATAACCTGTCCTATCTAAAGCTTCACAGCGAAGCTTTCGCTCATGAGGCATCAGCATGAAAGATATCATGTTTACTAGTGGTGCCAATTTCATGAAATTTCAATTCCAATTCCGATCCAATTCCAAGAAATTGCCAAGTAAATTTCCAATTTTGTCCAAAGCGGGGGCTATTCCAATTTTTAACGATTTTTGCATTTTTTGCGTAAATTTTAAAAGTGTTTAAAAGCGTTTTAAAGGCCTCCGTTTTAAAATTTTAAATTTTAAAGGCCTTGTGTTCCGATTAATTTCCAAAAAATGTTAAGAATTCCGTCCAAATTCCAAATTGGAATTGGACAAAAATTGGAATTCCAAGAAAAGAAATTCCGATTGGCACCAATAATGTTTACGACCTCCATCCGTTGGTTGACTTCCAACGATAGTCAGAAGGGTAACTTTGCGTTGAAAATAAAAATCAGTTCCTTCTTTAAGCCCGCAGGCTGCAACAGCTTATTAAAGGCAGGTGAATAATAGTCGAACTGGTGTGGTGCCGTTATCATATCAGGCGAAGCTAGGACCGTCTCAAATTACCCTGCATTCAGTGAAACCACCAGCCCATGGATTATTAATCCAAACGGGTCGCTACACTGGACTATCTCCTTGACAAAAAGATCAAAGAGCCGTAGTGCACGTCGTATCCCACGTAACATATCATAACTCATGTGTAATAACCCTCCCATCATAACTCATATATCAAAGTATTGCAGCATTGCATCATGTTTAAACCAGGCTATGGGATTTCCTTTGCATGATTCTCCAAAAAGGAACAATTTAGTTCATTTTAACTACTTGTTCTCCCTACAAATTAAAAATGAACCTGATTGAGAGGTCCTTGTCATGACAGACAGAAGGGCATGTCGTTGAGCCTAAACCAGTTCCTTTTTAGCACAAAATTTGCATCACTTTCCGCACATCACCGATCGTTTATTTAGCAGACGGATGGCGGGGGTGTCAGATTTAGCACCGCGGGGTGTCATATTTAGCACCGCGGCGGTGCAGGATGACACGGACTAGGCGCCGGTCATAAAACTGAAGACACTATCGGTCACGGTAGCTGTGGCGGACATCTAGGGGGAAAGGTCGGCTGGGGAGGGGGTCGGTTATGGAGACAGGTCAGCTAGGGGGGGGGGGGGCAAAGGGGAGGGGCGTGTCGGCAAGAGATGTGTTGACTGGGGGAAGGAGGACAGTTCAGCTATAGAGGAACAGGTCGGCTAAGGGAGGGGGCGCAGGTCGATTAGGGGACAGTTCAGGTCAGCCAGCGGAGTGGGACAGGTCGCCTTAGAGAGGCGATAGGTTGACTAAGGGGAGGGGGGAGAAGTTGGCTGTGGTGGCCTCACTGAACCCAATACACCCTCCCATTCATCTACATATGTATACACACAGCTGTGGCAAGGAGCCTGAGTATAATGGGACAACGACAGATGTGCTACGAAGATTAAGTATGCTGTGAAAAACGGAACAGCCTTTTCTACTCCCCGAC